GGGGGGGGGGGGGGGGGGGGGGATTTGAGGTGGGAGGAGTGGATAGTTGGAAGAAAGGACGGACAGGTTAGGGAGGCGGGGACGAGCTGGGCTGGTTTTGAGATGCGGTCAGGGGTGGGGAGATTTTGAAGCTTGTGAAGTCCACGTGGGAACCCTGCGGCCCAATGGTATCAAAGTGAAATATGAGGTGCTGTTCCTGCAACCTTCGGGTGGCATCGTTGTGGCACTGGAGGCGGCCCAGGATGGACATGTCATCCAAGGAGTGGGAGGGGGAGTTGAAGTTGTTCGCGACTGGGAAGTACAGTCTGCTTTGAGGAGCACCTACTCTCGTTTCGCGACAAACGACAACACCTCGCAGTCGCGAACCACCTCAACTCCCCCTCCCATTTCCTGGACCTCCTCTAGTGCCACAACGATGCCACCCGATGGTTGCAGGAACAGCACCTTGTGTTTCGCTTGGGAACCCTGCAGCCCAATGGTATCAATGTGGACTTCACAAGCTTCAAAATCTCCCCAACCCCGATCACATCTCAAAACCAGCCCAGCTCGTCCCCACCTCCCTAACCTGTCCATCCTTTCTCCCAACTATCCACTCCTCCCATCTCAACCCCCACCCCCACCCTCCTACCCACCAGCCTCATCCCTGCTTCCATGACCTGTCCATCTTCCCTGGACTGACCAACCCCCACCCTAACTCCCCACCTACACTCACCTTTACTGGCTCCATCCCCGCCTCCTTGACCTGTCCGTCTCCTCTCCACCTATCTGCTCCTTTATCCATCTTCCATCTGCCTCCCCTCCTCTCCCTATTTATTTCAGAATCCCCTTCCCCTGCCCCAGTCCTGAAGAAGGGTCCAGACCCGAAACATCAGCTTTCCTGCTCCTCTGATGCTGCTTGGCCTGCTGTGTTCATCCAGCTGTACACCTTGTTATCTCTGCTTTTATATGCAAGTGTTTTACATTTTGCATCAACTTCTTTCTACAGTATAGCACAAGATATCATCCCAATACAACACTTCAGCTAATACAAAAGCCAACATGGTCAAGTGAACTTCACTGATGCAGATTAACACACAAAGATTAGAAATGGGCATGCTTTGCACCAATTTTAAGGGCATAAAACAAGTGTCAACCTAGATACCCTGCACCCAATCTACAGAGGAGCTGGACATAATATTAAAGTCGTGACTCATTTTGTAAGATGTCTCAAAAGTCAGCTAAAGCAATGCTTGAACCCCTTGAATATGTTTGCCTGAGGTTTGCAAAAAGTCCTTATTTCAAATCAGTCAATTATGAGCAGGCAGCAGACCTTCCCATTCAGGGTTCACCAGTGACTCTCACGGTCACAATTGTAAGTTAAGGTATAAAAAAAAACTTTCCTGTGAAGCTGCAAGGAGCAGGATACTCACCTAACTTGCCATGTGCAAGATTGTCAATCGTGGCCTGCTCCTATCACTTCTGTGGGACTTATCAGAGGCTAACGCCCAAGGCCTGCACAGGTACCAGCTGCCTCTGGGTGGGTATCCAGTTTCCTGCTATCAGAAAAATTAGGCCCAGGGCTCATATTTCAAGTTTTAGGTTTATCCTGGTGTCAAGATAAATTCCTGTACCTAGCTCATAGCAGTGTTCAATGTCTCCTCCTAAATGTTCACCAAGCCATTTCAAATCAACTGCAGCAAGAGAAATGCTGCCCTTTAATTGTTTATCTTTACATTTTAAGATTAATATGAACATAAGAGTCAGGACATAGAATTCAGAGGAACAACACAAAGGGTTGCTCTTCATCTGGTCTCAGCTAGTTCCTGAATCATTCACCATCTATTTTCCATGAATTAGTGTGCATTTTAACAATTGGCTCTTTCCGGAGAAAGAGACACACTAAAATAGTAACGGTAACAGTAATCAGATAAAAATTATTTCCCGGACCTCTTATTTAGTTTGTATATGTAAACTCGGCATTAAGTTAACTTTGCCTCGATTTCCTTTTATTGAAGCATAACGTTTTAAAATAAAAAGGTCACAAAATGCACACCAGTTGTCACTTTCTTCAGATTTGAGTACATATCCACAAACTGTATTTTGTATTCTACCACTCAGCCTTTTCCATAATCTGCTTTCAATTGCACTTACTTCATCGTTAGCTAACAGTATTTTATGTGAAACCTTAGTAATAGCTTTCAATAGTTATCCTCGTGCTCAGCTCCACCACCAAGAGAAACATCTCTGGCAAATCATTTTTTTCTAAGATCCTAAATAGAAACCTCAATTAAATCAGTCCTCTACCTTCTGTACTCCAGGAAGTACAAGCCTTGTTTGTTTATGTAATTTATTGATTTATAATCAAAAGCAGCTATATCTATACACCTTTCCTAGTTTATTACTTTAGTTACTGCTCAAAATTTTAATTAGGTTTGTCGAACATTATCTATCATCTACAAACTGCTTTTGGCTCTAATGATCTTAAATTTCTCTTGCTGCTCAGTCACTGTCCTTATAAGATTCTAATAACCTTCCCACAGTAGGTGTATAGCAGGCCAGCAAAACAGTCGAACAAATGAATACACCTCTCACTTTACATTGACTTATCTTGCATTTTCTACTTCAAGCCAGAGAGAATAGCTTCAGCCACAAATTTCTCCTCAACTATTATCACTGCTTTCATCAGGGATGGACCGAAGTAGGATTGAGACAGACTGGGTTTTCTTGTTTTTCCAAGATCAAATTATTCAGTCCAATGAAATTTCCCATGTAGCAGTTAAGTTGAGAAATAATTTCACAAGCCAAAACAGAGGTCCAAGTAATGGCAGGGGGCCAGATAATCTCGTACTCAAGCAATGCCTTCATACAGTTTTTACAATTTCCTAACTTGGAAGAATGACTATATAACTCCTCAGTCGACTTCAGCGTGTACGTGAACTCCTTTTTATTTGTCCGCTTTACACAAAAGTAATGCATGTGAAATCTACACCATGATGAGAGTGGTGAATTAATCAATTCAGTAAATGTGTGGGGAATCTACTCCATTTGCAATGAAATCCTACATCACTTTGTAAGCAAGCCAGCTTTCTGCTGGCAGATTCTGTGTCTATTTAAACAAGGCTCCTGAGAAAAATGTTGCAGCAAAACATTCTACAAAAGCTCTGGGCATGGCCTCCCATTTAACCACTATGGAGGCCACAAGTGGATTATAAATCCCGAGTGTGAGCAAAATGGTTCTTTAGACTGCTCACTGGAAAGCTAGAATACCTTGCAGAGTGCAAGCTGGCTGGCTGTGTTCTTTCTGCTAACTGCAAGAACACACCTCTATTTGTAATAGAATGCAGCCTCCATCTTTGGGGCAAAGCAACATGGCAATCTCAACAGGCGAAGTTTACACTTTGAAACTTCAGAACCAAACAAACAAAAACAAACAAATCTGGGTCCTGTCCATCTGAATTCAGAATGCTCCGTTGAAAAAAAATCCACGTCACTGAAGGACGAAACAAACCAGTGTGGTAATTTGCTCATAGCTAGGAAAGGACAATGACCCAATCGTGAACATCACAAACAAAGAAAACCCTGGTCTTCCACTCGGCAATTTCGCAAAATCCCAGAGACTAAATGTATTTTGCTCCTCCCACCTTTAAACTCACATCAATCTCCCTATAAGTACGTTCATAGCTCTAGGTTACAATGCAATGTTCTCCTGCTACAAGCAGAGTCATCATGAAGTAGAATGGCCTCAAATGCATTTCAAATATTTAGATTCATGTGCAAGTAGAAAACAAATTAAACATTTAAAAGATGATCCCAGGCTACAAAATTAGTCCATGCTTACTCCAAAATTTTAAAGAAAGGTCAAGAAACGTTTTGCTGCAGATAAAACAGCTCGAGTTTAAAAGGATGAAAACACGTAGGTAGAATTCCTTAAAAATTAAACTGAAAGCTTCTTAGCAATTAAGGAACAATGTTTAGTAACTGTTTTTGCATTTTGGTATTATGTTGAAGATTCCTGCCAGAATTTGAAATTATCAACTCTTAAGCAGGGCTATACACACTATGAAGTTTATTATACCAATTTTTACACAGCAAAAGTGCAAGTATAAACTAGCAACTCCACTAAAAATGTGTGATGCAAATTTCAAAGAATTATGTACCCCTGGGTCTCTCTGTTCTACAACACTCACCAAGACCCTACCATTAACTGTAAGTCCCGCTTTTGTTCGTCTCACCAAAATGCGACACCTCGCATTTATCTAAATTCAACTCCATCTGCCACTCCTCAGTCCATTGGCCCAAATGATCAAGATCCCTTTGTAATCTTAGAAACGATCCTCACTATCTACTATAAACACCAATTTTGGTGTCATTTGCAAACCCATGCTTCCTCTATTCTCATCCGAATCATTTATATAAATGACGAACAACAGTGGAGCAAG